TGTGTGTGTGTGTGTGTGTATACAAGGGCGATGCCAAATATGGGAAGCACTAAATGCATGTTACTTTTTCTAATGCCTCCTAACCCTAGTATACATTCACTTCGTGCTAAATTGCACCAACTACCCAATTGATATTATTCATTTGTGTGCATACGCAAAGATTATTAGAGTAATGTTGTTGCTTGTTCAGAAAACAGGAACAATGTTCTTTACTAATTAAACACTCACAAATGCATTGCTAATAAATTTGCAATGAGTCTGTTTTTTCCACTTTGGGAGTGGGGTTGGTCTCGCCATCACCAACATGTGTCCACTGGCTTGAGACGTGGCAGCGCCTCCGGTCATGTGATTTTTGTTCGCACACGAACCCCACCCCGGTATCGCCCACCCCGAAAGATTTTTTTTAATATCGCTACTTCGTTATTTTACTGTCAGTTATCCGATTAAATACACGCACTGACAGAAAAAAAAGTGTTGAGAAATATTCCCCTGCATAACTCAGCACAAATAACTAGACATGGATTTGAGTGGCGGCGGTGACCACCCAAAACAGAGCCATTTTTAGACGTTTACTGCTGACGTTTACAGAGGCTTCAAATAGCTTCCGTTTTACTCTGGTAGTGATTGGACTGTCCTGTACTTGAGTGAGCTAACATACTGGTTGAACAAGTCCGACATTCTTCACTTCAATGGAGGAACAGCCCAAAGACCGGGCACAAGACAGGCAATACCATCACCACGGAGACGACAGGCACTCTTTTCAGCAGCCAACTTGTCTAAAAAATGATCAGAGCCACTTCCAGTGCCAGCATCAGGAAACGCAGACGAAGAAAACAGGTTGGGCCATCCGGAAAAGTTAGCTAATGCTTGCTAGCCTTGGTCAGCTAATGTCAGTGAGCCGACTAGCTTTTGCTAACTAATTTGAACTAAATCGCGATTGAGGACTTAGCCTGCTAGCTAGCTATTAGTTCATATTATATATGGTTCCTTGAGATAATTTGGTAAATGTTTCAGCTGGTGAAAAGCTTGGCCCTTTTTGACGGATAGCCGGACGAAGAACTCACCGTTATGTTAGCAAGTTTGCTAGCTGACGTTGCGTGACAGTTGTCGCTGTGGTGGTTTGACACATCGGGGATTGACCTTGTGCGCCGGTTTCGCCAACCATTTTTCTTTTGCAAATGCATCTTAATCATCTCAAGGAACCCCTGCCATGTTGTCATGTGTTCTTAGTGCATTATTTGATAGGAGTGCACGGCAAGTTGTCCTCAACAGTAGTCAAATCTGTGTCTTTTTTGTTCGGCATGCTCATGTCCAGCTTAGGAAAACCGAGCCGGCTCCACTGGAATGTTCTGAGCTGCCATTTCCTGTCAGCCATGTTAGACTATCACTGCTGGCTAGTGCTGTAGTTCCACAGCTAGTTAGAAATTGTTGTACAGGCAACATACTTTGCTGTTCTGGCATGTCTCTGCTGTCATTTTGGCTGCTGTGGTTGTTGCTGTTGGTGCTGATAGGGCAGAACAGTTCCTGGGCGTGTTGGTGGCAACCGAGCCGCTGGTTAGTTGACATTAGCTAAAGCTAGCCATCATTGACAGGCCTGTTGCATGTTGTCTAGTCAATGTGAAGCCAGGCAACAACTGGACAATGTCTTGTTTTGTGGCGCAGAGCTGACACTGTAAGCATCGTCCTTACGAGTCTATATGCACGCGTATAGATTGCTAGTGAGTAAGAACCGGCCTCCGTGTAAGAGAGGAGAGATTGTATGCAATCCATTGGGTGCTGCGCTCACAGACATTGAGGCAGCACCGTTGTGAATGGGAAGTCCTACGTTGACACAGCAATTCCCATGCGTCTCTGCCGTGCACGGGCCTGTTAATAGTTTATTGCTCCTCTGTGCGTGTACCATAAATGCTGTTGTGAGCGATCCTTGCAACAACTTGTCTCTGATGTCGAATATTCTCTGGGGTGGGGGAAGCTAAGCAAGAGTCCTTTATGTTGTTGACAGTTGTGAAGCATATCTAATTTCTATAACTTGTTACATGTAGTGAGCTCTGAGCTCATCTTGGAAGATTGTTAGGAAGTTTAATTTCACACAGCACTATAAGAATAATTATAAACACAATAAAGAGATCATGGGTGTGGCTTATATGTAATACTAGAAAAACATTTAAACATTTAAACGTTTAATGTGCATCTCTTTTTACTTGGATTTGTTTAGGTTAAGAGTTGCATAGTCACTTTTTTGCTAGTGTTGTCATGCTATTGCTATTGTGATACCATGCGTGCGCACACGCACAAAAAAATCTATAAAAGCCTTGTAATTTCTCCAAGTTTGAAACAGATTATTTGACACAGACTTTCAGCAAATGTAGTAGTTGTGGAGGTTTTCTGCCAGGTGAAAGGTGGTGGATGTTCCCTAATTTCAGTATGAACTGATTTTGTTTCCCCTTTCAGGCAATAAAAAAGTAAGCATCAGTGACGAGGAGGGAGAGAAGAATCCACATCTGTCTAATGCTGTTGGCATGTCACATCCACCTAGCTTCAATGCTAACAGACACACAATTAATACAAATGCAAAGCCCAAATCGACGCAAAAGCTGTGCACGACTGTTCCAAAAATAAGCATCAAAGGAATGGACCATAAGAAGAATATGGACTTTAAAAATGACAAGGAGAAGGTGCAGGATTTGAGTCATCATGAGGGCCCGCCTTTGGATAAGAAGGACTCCATATTACTTCAAAATGGTATCGTAAACTGTGGCTTAATTACAAATGGCTATTCTAGCAAGGACAATGACGGTAGTAGTTCGGAAGGTGGATATACTACTCCGAAGAAACGCAAGACCAGATGTAACAATACAAAGAACACTGATAATGTGATAAGAGAAAAGGAGAGAGACATGCAGCAGGGCCACACTACAGAGGAGCTGGGGGCTTTGAATCTAGAGACAAATGAGAAAGGAATGACCTCGAGACTCGATGGATTTAGAGCCACCCAGAAAGTAGAAACTCAGTCGACAGCCAAACGGGCTGTTGTATCAGAGGCTTCAGTGGGTGAATCTCAGAGGAAAAACTCTGATGGAAAAACAGTTGGCACCTTGGGTAAAAAAACTGAGGAAAGACACAAAGGCAAGCTTTCTTCACCTTCAAAAGAGGACTCATGGACTTTGTTCAAGCCTCCGCCAGTATTTCCTGTGGACAATAGCAGTGCTAAAATTGTTCCCAAGATCAGTTATGCAAGTAAAGTAAAAGAGAACCTCAACAAAGTAGCTCAAGGTGGAGGAGAGGCACTGCCTCCTCCTGTCAGACTGTCACAGGTCCCTATGTCTGCTATGAAAACGATCACCTCAGCTAGTTTTACTAATGGTCCTGTTTCTGGAAATGGAAACGGTTGCCCGTCAGTGGGTACCTTCTTAGCTCCTGCTGCTAGTAGTATTCCATCAGCCCAGTCTATCCTAAGTGGCGACAATGTAGCATCCCCTTTGGAAAGTAACTGTAGCTCCACAACTAGTCCTGTAGATGGAGAGGCATATGAGCTTAGAAAGTGTACTCTTTTAATTTACCCTTTAAATATGCAACCTGTACTCCCTAGCGCTCGTCACCTTGACCCACCAGCGGCTCAGACAAATCAGAAAGCCCTGGGAGATATCTTCCAGAATCAGTGGGGGCTTTCCTTCATTAATGAGCCCAACTTGGGCCCAGAAGGCGGAAATGGGCTGGTGCCCGGAGAGGACAAAACTACTGTGGTCACATCTAATAGCGAGTGTCAAGCTGTTGCAGCCAAGGTTGCCCAGCCTTGCTTTGACATTAGCCCATCATTGTTAGAGCCTGGGCCTTTGGTTCAAGACCCTGAGAAAAGGACTTGTACCCCTTGCATTGTGTCCAATGCTTGTCCTCCTGCTTATGGGATGAGTGAGGAGGAAAACAAGCTGCAGCCATGTGGCAAGGAAAAGACACAAGGTGCAGGAACTGCTGTGTTGGCCCCCAGTAAAGACAACGGTGCTAAGTCTGCGCAGGGTCAGCTAACCACTTTATTATTTGGCTCATCTAAAGAACAGGTTCTCTCTAAAGACATTAGCACGAGGTGTAGCTGGGGGTCCTTTGACGTTAAAGCTGCTGTCACTTATCACACTAAAGGTAAGTTTCACTCTCTGCTCTATCAAAAACATTAACCCAATAACCAGATTTGAATTCTTAGGGCTACATTGAATGTTTAAAAAAAAAGTCTATTTTTCTCTTGTATTTCTTTAAGGTTTTGCTTACCTTGTTTGATAAAATAGTAGCTGTTTTATAGTTTATTTCTACATCATGATGCTTTCTAAATGATCTTGCTATGTGTGTTCAGGTGTTGGACCATAATTATTTCTGAAATGTTCCTCAAATGCACATCTGGGTGGTGATTCTTTTCTTTTCAAAATAAAAATATGTTGGTGTGGACTTAGAATCTGTTTTGGCACCACCTGTTCTGACTATTAAAATTAGTGTAGCAGTTAACCTCAGCAAAAGTGCTTCAGCACACAGTCTGAGTAACTGTAGACAGCGTCTGATATTTGCCCCACAGTTCTACCAAAGAAATGAACAAAGTCAGCCATAGATGACTTCATATGAAATTTGACTTGATTCTTTGCTAAGGCGAAAACGAATATTTGCAGCTCACCAACCGAAATATCTTATCCATATTAAAAATGTTATTACCTTCCAAAAATGGCTTTTTGATAGGGCAAATGGCAGTTGTAGAGTAGTTTCGTTGCCTTCGAAAAAGTTACTACAAATACAGGACCAGGTCTGTGAGCACTCGGTCAGTTGCTGTCTTCAAAGTGACTTTGTGTTAAGGCGGTGATAAAACCGCAATAAGGTGGAGTCAGTCTGCTATCCGTTTGTGATTGAATAGGGTTAAGTTAACAATGGCATGCAGTCGGTTTGATAACATGAAGATTAACTGTGATAAAACGATGCAAAGAGATGTGTAGCAGACTACTGACTTTGACACTATGTTACAATCAGTCTCTGTCTGTATTTATAAATTGGATGACAGTTTGTTATAAACTTTTACCAGTACGTCTGAGAGTGATTCCAAGCTGTGATTGTTTGTAGACAAGTTGCCAATCCCCTTGCAGTCAACACAGTCAACCTTTGGGTAAACGGTTAGTCACCACAAATGCTTGCAGTTAATTAGGGCTGCCACGATTAGTCGACTAGTCACGATTACGTCGACTATCAAAATTGTTGTCGACTGATTTAATAGTCGACGCATCGTTTGAAGCTTTGGAAGATCACAAAAGATGCAGGAATAAGTGGTAGGATTTAAGAGTGTAATAACGGACTGAAACAGAAGATGGCAGCAGTGCATGTACAAGGATGCCAGCTGCCGTTAAACCCCGAAGAAGAAGTAGCTTTGCCCAGAATTAATAGCGCAGCCCAGCTCAGTTTCCAACAATGGCGGCAGCTAGTTAGTTTTAATATTACTGTTTTTATTCTTTCTGGGTCACAAAATAAACGTTTAACATATTTTCAGGCGAGAATGTAGCTGTGTAAACCTCAAATATCTGCTCAGTTTATCAAGACACCACATATTTTGAAAAGCGCTCTGAAGTCTGTTACCCACTAGCTCGATAGCTAGCCGGGGGCAAAGCTCACTAGAGCCGGTGAGAACCCTGGACTCTCCGGGCAAATCGTTTTCAAACCCAACCGCAGTCTTTTGCTACTCAGGTTAAACATATATAAGTCACTTAGATGACTTAAAAATGTTATTGTTTGGCTTTTTTTAGTATTTTATTTGTTCCTGAGTAAATCAGTTTGGCTGAGATTAAATTTATAGTTTTTACACGTCTGCTTGACGTTTATTCAGCTAACTGATTATCAGAAGTGTGAGATGCTCGAGAGAATATACTCCGGTGTCCCGTTATATTTTAGATAGCAAGGAGTTTATTAAACTTCACTGAAACAATCTGCAAATTTAATAAACTATCATCTTGCCTTTATTTTTAGTTAGCACATACCTTAAACACTTAAAGCTGTAAGCTAATGATAGTTATATAAGAGCAGATGCATGCTGGTGCAATAAGCTGTACGTTTTACGTCCAATGGATGCATGCTCTGATTAGTCGACTAATCGCAAAAATAATCGTTTGTGGCAGCAGGTGGCTACAGTTAATCACCAACAGCAAAAAAAATTCAGTGTCAGTTGTTGAAATGTACGGGGCTTTTTTTTTTCCTTTTGCAGTGGTCATTTAAGGGTTCTTGCGATTGCTGTTCGATATGTAAAAATATAATTTTGTTTAACAGCATCAAGCATGAACCTAAATTCAGATTTTGTCAACTGTGTAAAACACTAACTTGTAAAATGTTTACATATTTGCTTTTTTTTGTTGTTGTTGCTTTCTTTTAATTGTTGTTTAATTGTTTTTTTAAGAATGTTTCATGATGAGCTAATGTGTGTTTTTGTTTCCTTTCATCAGAAATGGAATCCGTTTTCAACTTGCAAAAACAAGGTACAAAGATCCTGTCTTAAATATGTGTTTGCACTGTTTTCCAAGCAAGGAATGGCTGTGGATTTAGGATTGGATTTAGTTCATTTTACCCATAGTTTTCTATAATGAAAAAAGAAAAAACCTTCAAATATTAATTTATTTGAAGGCCATCGTTTGAAACTTGCAATTAAGGTCCAGAATACACTATGTCTGACAGTAGTAATAATAAGAAAGATGTGGTTTTTTTGTTTTTTGTTTTTTTTGTTTTTGTACCATTACTAAATGCTTCAGAAAGAAAATAATCGTATAGAATGACAAGATAAGAAAAAATAATGGGATAAAACACAGCAGTGTTATCACACATTTATGAAATCCTTTGTGCTAGCTGAGACACTGAAATGACCAGCATGGCCACATTCACCTAAGTAAATGCTGAGGCACATTAGGGGTTAACTCCTTAATGTGCTTCAGAGTAAGGCCATTTAATGCTTTAAGAAATGATGCGTAACATTTTAAAATAAACACAGAATCCTTGATCACCCTAATTCATCTCCTCTCTCCTGTAGATCCAAAAAGGGTAGTAATTTACGGCGAGACCAAGGATGGACCTGATCAGTGAGGTAGATGGCCTACAGTACTTACCTTCTTCTCTTCTGGGTGCTGCAGTTATCTACCTTGGAAATCACAAATCCTGTTGGATAGAAGTGACAACTGTGAAAACATTTGATAGTTTAGCATGACAGATTTTCCATGGAATCTCGGGTGGAATAACGGACTTCTCTGGGGGCATCAAAATGAACACACAAGCTCTGGATGGACGTTAAAAAGGAGCTGATTGGTGCCTCTCCAACATGACGAATGGACACTTTGGGCTGCGATCTTTGTTTGTCTCATGGCTCTTTAGGGATAATGTTTGGGAGTTCATCAAAAGGAAGGTGTTTTGGACTGCACCTCCCTAAGCCTTTATCCTGTTGACCTGTGGCAGCAGTCAGTCTGACTACAGCATGCCTCGGTCATGTTTTCTTTTACACATTCACGAGTTTCATTGTAGATATGTTAGACGTTATACATGCACATCTGTGTGCAAGCTTGAATTCATCATGAATGAAAGGAGAAAACACTCTGCAAAGCATTCTTTGGGGGGGAGGTTTGTGGGGTCCCACTTAACTCTAAGTTAAATGGGAGCTTATAGGTGAGGCCCCATCCAGGAAGGGAGTTTTGTCTTAAATCAGTAAGGGAAAATTTAATTGCCCACGTTTTCTTTTTGTGTCGTTTCGTCTTACCTAACATGAGTGTTATCTGCACTACAGTATGACCCCAGAGCACAGGTACAAAAGTGCCCAGTTTGAAGGAAAGCCACCCCCTTTGTTTCACTGTTTATTAGGTGTGCTAAAGAGTCAAAAATAAGGTCTCCGTTAAATTCATCCTGAAGTTTTTCATACATTTCAGATTATTAGTAGGTTGTCACCGGCTGTTCTTAAACTGAGGTTCATTATACGTTCTATTAAATGAACTCTGAGTTGGGGAATAAGCTTGGTGACAAACTGTTGGTAAAATAAAAGGAGGAGAAAAAAAGAGACATTGCTTCCACAAAAGTCTTCTGCATTTTGTGCTTTTTGTTCAGCAGTAAGGCTCAGGATGTCAATACAGATTATTTTGCCTGTATTTGTGTTCAGTTCCTCTTGTTCTACATTTTTACAATGTACTTTTTTGTTTTGTTTCTTCTTTTGACTCAGAATTTGGTCTTTACTTTTCTGCCTTGTACGGCATCGTTTTTCTTGCATGTTTACTGGTGGAAACGCACGAGTTGGAGGTCACTGTTCATCGGCATACAAAGATAACAGTAACAGAACAATTGCAATACTAATCTTAGTTCCCTAAGTAGACACTTTTTCAAACTGTTCAAATGTGAAGATTAGTTTAATACTATTATGTTTTACTGTGGATAACCTATTACGTTTGCAAACCAGTGTGCAATAACACCGTGTGATCCATACATGCGTGTTGGGAGGGGAGGGGTTGCGAGGGTTATGTAGAGCTACAATGTCATCAGCCAAGATGCTAGCGTGGCCTGCAGTTCAGTTCAGAATGTTTAAGGGTGTTCAGTTTGTTGCACGACTTCTAAATTCGATGGTGGGATATATGTATATTTTTTAAAATTATTCTAAAGGCTCCTGTTGTAAGATCTAAGTCTAGGCAGCCCAAATCCGCTAGCTGACCAGCTGTGATGTCAATTTTTTATTTTTTTTATTTTTTTCCTTCACCATCAGCAAATCAAAATCGGTTTACTCAACAAAGCAACTGTCCAGGTTTTTCTCTAGAAGCTCTGATTTGGCTAATGTGTGGATTATTAGCACTTTATGTAAACTAATTGCTTTTATCTTATGATTAATAGACGAAATCTGTGTGTACTGACGAGAAATCCTCCTTGAAAGAATGGCTCTGGGCTGTTACTTTTCAGAAAAAAAGCCGCTAAATATACAGAATTATTAAATGTAACTCAGGTAGTGTTGATAAAGCCATGACTGTGTTTAATATTGTTTCTTGCCAAACGGCCCCCGTCACGTAAACGTTCTCATTGGAAAGGTTGACTTTAAGTCTGATTTATATAAAGTATCGTATGTTGTGACAACACACCAAAAAGTTAATACTTTGAGAAAAAAATTGTCATGGCGTGGGAGGTGCTGTCATTAATCGTTTTGGGCTCTAAAATTGTTGTTTCTTTTCTTTTTAAGCACAGTGCTGCACAGGCTCTTTTCCATGTATCCTGGACTGTAACCTTGTAATCTCTGCCGGTTCAATTTCTCCCTTATGTGTTCATAGTGAAGCACCTCTTTGATTTATTAATGCTGAACATCAGCGGTGTTTCTACGGGGGTACACATGAGCTTTCGAGTACACTTCTTTCCACTGTGTCCTGATTAGGCGGCGGCGCAGCTCGTGCTCGTGCACAGAGAGGGGAAGTCATAACTGCAGCCATGTTTTTGTACAAGTTGTCTTGACATTTAACTTCCACGTCTATTCGCAGTCGGCTCTCTGGTATTTAAAAAGCTTTGTTTTGGCTTTCATTGTACGCCATTTGATGGATGAGTGTATCAGCAGACGCTGCCCTCTGAACGAGAACGCTCGTGTCAGACGTGGTCAATGAGGAAGCAGGGGTAATTGAGGAGGTATAAGCGCTTATTTTTATGTTGTTCTGTGCTTGTGGAAAATTGACACTTAATCTGGCATCAATTTACAAGAAACACCGCAGTTTAATTTCTTGCAATGGCCCATAATCTATTTGCGGGGGGCGGGGGACACAATCAGGTTACCATATGGTTAATGTTCAGGCTGAAAGGATTATCAGTGCACAGCTTTAGGCTTCTAAATGTAAAGCAGGGTGATCAGAATAACGAGTACGTGATCTTACTGTAGTATTATGATGAAAACACTATTTTCTCATGTGTGGGGTTGTTTTTTTGTTTCTTTGGGGGGGGGGGTTTGTTTTGTTTTTTGTTTTTTTTTTTAATGCTAGAGTGGTCCTGGTAGAGGGAAATCAGAGATTCTCCTTTGCTCCCACCCTGATGCCCCTCTTTTTCAAGCACTTAATACAGCAACAAGGCTATATTGAATATGCATATATTGAGAGGGAAATAATTATTCAGCATTGTAGCCTGCAAACCAAAAACAGGTTCTTGAAGCAGAGTAGGTGGTTAATCAGTGGTTTGTCTTTTGGGTGGTGGTGGGAGTGACTGTTGGTGTGGTGAGAAAGAAAAGCCTGATCATGTGGAGTTTATATTTCCACCCCCTCAGGATGTGCAATCACCTCAAGGATGCTTCCAGGTTGTGAGTGGCAAGTTTGTTTGTTTGGTGCGCGCATAGCGAGTTCTTCCTATTATATGCAAGTTCCTCGTATATTTCAAAAAAGTCCCTCGTTTCATGTTCAGGTGCCTGTGTTATAAAGAAAAACTTTTACAGCAATTTTGATTGTTTCAAATCTGCTTCCAGCGTATATCTGTGCCATTTTCTTTATTTCTTTTGTTTTGTTGTTTGTTTTGTTTTTTGGAACATTTGCAACGCTGTTCAAGTATTCTTTTGGCTGTTCCTAATTGTTCTTCTTTTAAACGATGTGGATGCCACTGAAGGCGAGGAGCATTTCAGGCGTCCTGTAGGTTGTGTTCACAGGTGCGACCTAAAGCCAAATCACACGGGCACGGGAGACAGATCTCTGCTCGTTGGTGTATACTCCAGTCCGTTGTCGAGTTAATGTCTGAACGTAGCACATAATTAATTTGAAATTATTTAACAAGTTTAATCTTTTAATGTTTAAAAAAAAAAAAAAGTTTTATTTTTGAGTTATAATTTATCCATAGATGCACAAATAGGATGTGACTAAAAGAAATAATTAAGAAAATCGCAATGTCTCATTTTTGATGAGCGCTAGATGTTTAGTTAGTAAGGCTGATATAGACCTACTACTTTTTTCTTTTTCTTTTTTTTTTTTATTTTTTTAAATCCCTATGTCAAGATATTTGCTCTCAATGGGGTTTGTTTGTTTGTTTTTCTCTCATCCAATTTTATACAAATTTCCTTAATTCTTCAGATAGTTCTGATGGAGTGATGAGCATTGAAAACACTGCATCCAGAGTTCCTCTTGATTATATTTTTATTTGTCGTGTTGTTGATCATGTTGTGAGGTGGGGGGGGGCGAGGTGTTTATTTTATTTTTTTAATTTTTATTTTTTTCTTTTAAAGTGCAGTTCAACAGCTCTGAATCTGCTTTCGCCAAAGGTACACTACTCAGATATTCAGCTACTGAATGACAAATGCACAGACAGACAGACAGAGGGCGGTTGATGGAGATGAGAAGTCACTACTGTAGCAGCTGAATGTCACTTTGAGCGCGTTGACTTACGGTGTGTGTGGGAGGGGTGGGGGATTCTTAAAACAAATACCGGAAGTGCTGCTTCATCATCCAGCAATCAGTCATCTGTAACGGGAAATGCTGGACTTGGTGTTTGTGCTTGACTTAAAAACTGTCCCTCCTTTAAACTGTCATTGCCTCTTGGAAGTGTTTTAAATTTACATAGGGCTTTTTGTTTTGTTTAATTTAATTTTTTATTTCAGTGACACCTGAGAGGTAGTTACAATGGGAGTAAACAAGGGTGACACATGTCCTTTTAAAGGATTCAGTCATAAGAGATGATATGTGCCGAATCGTCCTCCTTTTCTTTGTCATCTCAAATGGCTGCTGTTTGTGTTCATGCATTATTTTTTTTCTGCTCCTCCTCTCATCGATTCTCCATCTCTTGCCCTTCTTAAAACACGAGGCAATGGCATTTCTTTCTCATGTCTTACAGGTTGGCATTTAAGTTTTTAAGTGAGCAGTCTGATTATTTAATTTTCTTTTGATTTGTTTTTGAATTTAACAGAAGTGTCACATTAAAATGTTCTTTTTATTTTCAAAGCATGATAATAACCCTCAAATTCCAAACAATGTAATAGTCAATTTACAAAAAAAAAAAGAGAGAGAGAGAAAACTCCAGTGTTCACAATTTTAGTTTCCATTAAAATGTCAAATTTTCATGAAAGCAGTGTTTGTGTTTTCTGTTTTGGTTGCACACTGACACCGTGTTTCCTGTGACACATTATCTCAACCTTGTGCACTACTACAGACACGTTGCAAATCTTAAATCCCATTATCCCATTTAACCCACAGATAAGCTTCAAGGCTTCTGTTTGATTCTTGTGGGTGTGACTTTTTTTTTAGCCTAGAGCTAAATTTAATCACAATTCTAAAGTAACAGAAGGGTTTTTCCATCACTCTGAAAGACCGGGCCTTAAGGACAGTAATAAAGCAGGACTCATTTTATGACCTGTACTGTGTCAGCTGTTAAGCAGTGTTGGAATGGGACAAAGTGCAATTTGCGAACCTTGGACAATTTTTGTGCTGTTATACGCTGGTCACTTTATTTGCAGTTTTGATAGTTAAGTATTGAACCCTTGTTTTTCTTTTAAATTTTCTGTGGCACTGTCTCAACAAGGTGCTGACATTTTAGTCCATATTGGCATGACGATGTCGCAGGTTCATCGGCTAAAGTGTGCCATGAAATGTATACTTATACTGTTACACCAACCCCAGCAGCCTGAACAAGGTAGGATGGATCGGTACTTAGAATTTGGCATAAACAAAAGCCGACTCTGCATTCAGAAACGGAGACTTTTCAGACCAAGGAAGTTTATTTTTTTTTAAAACTATCTTCTGTCCAGTTTTTATGAGCCTATGTGAATTGCAGCTTCATTTTCCTGTTCTGATCGGATTGGCAATCAGTGTGGTCCTCTGCTGCCCACGTGCTCTTCTGCATACCTTGGTTGTAACAAATGGTTACTTGAGTTACTGTTGCCTTCCTATCTGATGCTCTGGCCTTTTTTTTCTCTGACCTCTGATCAACACAACATTGTTCCACAGAGAACTGCTGCTCACTGGTTAGTTTCTTTTGGGACATTCTCTGTAAACTCTAGAGATCGTTCTGTGGGGAAATCCCTCAAACTTCAGCAGGCCGTCTTGATTGTCTCTGGCCTCTTTCTAAATGGTTGGAGTTGCTGCAGTGTTGGCTGATTAGGTAGTTGTACTAACAAACAGTTGAACAGGTGTACTTACCAGAGTGGCTGATGAGTGTATATGGTACTTTACTACATATTGGATGGAGGTGATACGTTTTCTGTTTGTAAGAATATTTTCTATCAGTTCTCATTTCTTCATATTTTGCTTGGAAAAACTGAAGTATTGTATAAAAGGCAAGTCCCCTTGTTGATGCAAAAATAATGTAATGCATGTCTGCCAAACTGTGTCATCACTGGCATTTTTCATACATGAAGACGTTAAAAAATTTAAAATTCTGGAAAGTTATTTGTTTGGGGGGGGGAATCGAATTCCTTGGAAGCAAAATATAAAGGAAAGGGTGACTCTAGACTTTTGTGCATTACTGCAGCTATGATAGACACAAACAGAGCCCCAAAATGTTTTCCTGTATAATATAATGAGGCCATAAGTTGCCTCACTCTGTCATGTTAGTCAGAACTATTAGCTTGATTACTTGAGGGTTAAACTTTACTTTTTATTGTGTCAAAGACTTGCTGCAAATAAACTAGTACTGCACATATTGTAGGTGAAATTAGCTAAACCGCAGCTAAATGCAATAATGCAGTATGGTATAAATTACACTCATATGAACACCTGGTAACTTAACCTCAATAGTTTTTCACTTTTACTTAAAAGTCCTGCAGTAAGTAATATCACTATATTGATATTGTTGTGTTATTCCTTTCCTCAAGTGAATGATGTGTGCTATTCTTCCACCACTCTGTTTGGATGCTGATTTTCCCCCCCAAACAGTGTTTCAGTGAAATGAAATCACACGGGTTTACACACAATAGCTAGGAGGTATTTCAAATGTTCAACAGTGAATTTAAAAGTACAGAGTTATTCACTGGTTCCTCCTGTGTCTTTGTTTTCTTTCACTGGGATGGAAATGGGGTGTCACAAGGCAAAATGAAACCTAAGCCATGTGGACAAATGACACCAATAAATAGGTCCTTGAACAGTACAAAGAAAATATTTGAGAAGTTAGGGCTTTGGAGACGGGAAAATCTTCTTTTTCAAAAAACAAAAAAAACAGTTGTGCAACTTTGCAAAGTTATGTGGAACCATCTCTTCAGCTGCCAGCACCAGCCAAAGAAACTGCAAATCAAATGGGAAGTTTTCCAGGACACACAGACATTTGTTCCTCTGCTTCTTCTGACAGCATATGTTAGAAATGCTTCCACTCAATGTGTCTCACAGTCGCTCTGTTTAGCAAGGACAGCATTAGTGGAAACCATGTGGTCTTAATGAGCTCAGCTTGATCAAAAGGTCTCTAGGTGCTGCTGCATCATCATCATCATCAACATCACCAGTGAGCAAGGCTGCCGATTGTTGTTCAAAGACGCCCCCTTGTGGGAGTAGGATTAGCACACACTGAGTCACACAAGCTGAGCTGCACAAGATGAGACGCTTATTTTAATCACCTCTTGATTTTATGAACAGAGGCCATGCACCTCAGCTTTTAGATTTTTTTTTTTTATAAACTATGTTTCTTTATCCGATTTAAATGAATGAACAAAAAATCTAACAAAATCTTAACTTTGACCTTTACTTAGATGTTTCAATACAAATTTCTTAGTTTCTGTTATGACTTCTAGATGCTATAGGACTTTTTCTGCATGAGCATGTAATCTGCTCAGATCCCCTTTGGAAAAAAGTGGGGGGAAAAAATCAAACAAAGTAGCTTTCCAAACTCTCTGAAAGCCCCTGAAGACCTTTGCACAGTACTGTAGTTTCAAATGTTTTTGCTAACTGGTGGAGGGAGTTAAATTTGGAAGTTCTTCGAATGCTGTGATGACCCTGGAAGCTGTTGACACTGCAGGTGGTGTATTTTCACCACAAACACGTGTACACACATTTTTTTTCTCCCCCTATTCTGTCCATAAAATTGAACCGGTGTTTACTGCCACCCCTTCAATTTCACCTTGATTACTGTGCACTTCGTGAAGGCAACATGGGGCTTGATGGTTAGTGGACTGGTGCTCAGAGAGATTGTCTAGTGGTCTGGAAGGTCACTAAAAGGGTTGATCTTTCTATTAACTGCGCTGAGGTGTTTGTGAACTAGATGCCGAATGTCTTCTCACCTCAGGACTGCTGCAAAAAGGATGAGCTCAGTGACCCTTTTTCAAAAAAGAAAGAAAGCAGCTTTGTTTCCACTATCGGTGACCTGAATAAAAGTACAGGAGTATTAGAAACATGTTATTGGTAGTATATGGGATATTAAAGGTGCTTTTTAAAAAAAGCACCTTTAATATTTTTGTCTTTATTTCTATGCCATTGAAGAGATATAAAATGAAGATAAAACTAGAGTGAGGTGTACTTTTGTTTAATACCAATTTGTACCACAAGATGGTGCAGTGAGTCAATGTAACCTTGATTTAACCAGGCAAGTCATCAAGAACACGTTCTTGTGAACAATGAGGCCTGATAAAAGAAAAGCCTCTTGAAGATGTTAGAAAAGGGTTCAAAAGCAGCACATATCCTAAAATGTTTCAATATATTGTTCGCAATAGTAATGCACTGCCCCCTGGTGGTGAAAAGTACAGTTATATTTTCAAGAAGGTAATTGCAAAAAGTACCTTTTAAATATCACAAGTATTCTCAGATAATGATTTGTCATATTACAGGCCAGTTTTCTTGTGACCCACAACATGAAGGATTGGATCTAAAACACATTTGTGTCTTAACGGGGCTTTTTAAAACCCATCTGCTCTGTGGCTGAGAATGTTAAATGTGACTTTTTCTCTAAATCCATGTGTAATTGTGTATTTATTACCCTCATCTCGGCCTTATATTTGTGAAAAATGGTTCTATAATTCGCAATTTTATTCCTCAGTTGCTCCTGGTTTGGTTTTGTAAGTTACTACAGCACAAGTGTGATTTATGACATTTCTCAGCTCCATCAGTCAAGGACTGCTTCATAGAGCCATTTTTCTATTGAAAGCCCTCACGCATTTAGACGGGTCCTTACATGCTGCTCATTCTTGATAGGGACAGGAACCAGAGGCAGTGTATCATCTGAGTGCATCTCCCGCTTTCTTGTATGAATATATCAGCACTGACCAGACAGTCCCTGACATTTAGTGATCTGTGATGATCAGCATAAACCTTAAATTATCCAATGTCTGCCTGAAGTGCTTTCAAAAGTTTGCCACTGATCTGATGTACATCATGGTTCAAAGAACAGCTACTGCAGGCTCCGGTTCCAGCGATCACCCTGAACCCTCGCAGAGTTTAATTAACATCACCAGTGTGTGAGAATGTGCAGCAGTGCAGGAAGCTGCAAGTGCTCAAATGATTTGGGAGTAAAGTGCATGGCTCATACTTTCTATAGCACACTCGGGATGAATGTTATTTTTTTTGTTGTTTTTTTTTAACTCGAACTCTTTCTATGATTTTATTTTACTGTTCTTGAGAGCTGTGTCATACTTGAAAAATGTGTGATTAATGGGCACCGCCCTCTAGGGCCACCAGCACATTTTCATTTTCCAAAGCTATATAGAACATTGTAATTCAAAGTAAAGGATAATAAAGCTTTGTGTGCAACAAAGACATGCTCCTCTGGTGCAAAGTTTAAAAGTGTCACCTAGATAGATCCCCAGAGCATAGCAAACTCTCTAGGTAGCAAATAAGCTACTTCACTGACATTTTGAACCTGTTGTAAAGAGACCAGGAGCCTACAGCTATGCTAGCGGCTCTGTGACGCTGTAGTTAGGCACAGTAGGGCTTTGAACTAAATGCTAACATCAGCATGCTAGCAATATTACAAGTCCTAACGGGCTCATATTTAGCAGGATTACACCATAGCTAAATATGGTTAAAAGTGTTGGTATGTACAGTGTCAAACCTCCTTTACTCATAGGCAACATAGAGCTAAACTAGATTTTTTTTTTTTAAATAATTGAAAATACATTATTTAAAAACAAACAAAAAGGTGATATGCCTCTA